CACCTGTTTATCAACAAGGCTAGCTTAGGATATTAAATACCCCAGAGACTTGAGAGTGGGGAAAACCATGGTTTAAGAGTGAGTCTTATGATCTTTAATCGGGTTACACCTCACAATTGATGAGCTTGGGTAATCCTGTCACATGGATAAATCCTTATTTAATATTATAGCCTATAGTTTCAATCGTAGAAAATAAATAGGGTATAAGATGATTTGATCATGCATATATGTTCAAATGACGTGTCACAAGGTTGTTTAAGTTTGTGGTAAGTTGTCATAGTAAATTGGGTCATTGACATATGTATGTATGTCTTAGGGTATGTGTCATGTGATTTGAGATAAAAATTGTGAACATAAGTTAGAAGAGGAATGATAGTTTTGTGCTACATGTGTTAGTACTTATGTTTTGAGAAAATCAACTTCAATTATGTGTGTTTGTTCAATTAATATATAACTACATAGGATAGGTGTACCTTAATTACTAAATGGCTAGATTCACTGCTCTCTTTCAATATTTTATAGCCTCTAGCTCCAGTGCAAAAAGGAAAAAAGCTATAGAAGGTTAGGAATCTAAGATTCCTACTGTATAGCCTCTTGACCCTACTTATCTTTGTGTATTAATTGATATATTGCCAATTAGATTTAAATTTTGCATACACTTACGCTTTTGATGGTTATAATTTTGGAATTTATTTTGAGCCCTGGGTTATTGTTTGTATGTTGCTCAAGTATATTATAAGGTCAAAATACTAGTATAAGTATAGGAATATCAAATTGATTGCAACTATGAATACTATTGTTGAAAAACAATGCTAAAACCTCTACCTTCTATTTTTGGTATCAAGGGGTTAAGGAGTAAAATTTTGATGTGATTGAAATTATGTGCATGTGGTGTATTGTACAAGGAGCCCTAAGTCCTATGAGTGTATGTTGGATGTTAGGAATAGCTTTTAGCATAAGTATGAAATTTTGGACACCCTTTTAGTTGTGAAAATGTATTTAGATGTCCAACTTCCTTGACTTAATTTGAAGGTAAAATTCATGTCATTAGCAAGTTTATAAAAAAAGCTTTTTGTATACACCTAAATTACCTCATTCAAACATCATACGGAAAAATGAGATACATCAAAAGTTTTTCCAAATTATTGTCATGTGATAGCAAAATCTATTGTCAAAAACATATAACACGTCGCGATGCATGGCACAGAAGAGAACAACTACAGTGCACGTGTACAAAGTTTTTTTTTTTTTGCCCTGGATGTTTTTCAACATTCATCAAGTTATTTCACTCTTGTGAGGTATCTTGTGCTTTCGAAATGTTATTTTACTCTGATCACAAGTTTAGGAAATGATTTTGGTTTATTTTAAGCTATAAAAATTTGGAATTCCATTTCTATAAATTACAAAACTTGGTAATCTTTCTTAGATTATTCCCTTAATTATCTTGAATTATGGTTTCTAGTGAGATTAGTATTTGAAGACCTTACACCACTGGCTAACAAAATTGTCATTAATAATCAACATTCTAATTTAATCCCACATTTTAAATCATGCATGTATGGGTCTAAAAAATGACATATTATCTCTTTTTAATATTTCTCATCATATTTAACATAAATGAATTCACCAATATCTATATCCCATGCACAAATTAGAATAGTTAATCCTTCTTTAAGCATAAAATCAATCATCAAACATTATGCATGTAACAAATATTTTTTAATATTATTTGAGGAATGAATTTAACTCTTTCTATAAAATTTTATATAATAAAAAACATTCTTATATATGATAGTCAGCAATTGCTTTAATATCATAAATTATTAAGTAAAAATAAATTAAAATATTCTAACATTTATTCTTGAAGGAAAAAAAAAAAAAGATCATATCGATGAAAGAGGTAGCATACGGATAAACTTTATCAATTTTTTAAAGAAAATGAAATTTACTAATAAATTGTTGGATGCTATTTACTTACTGAAATACTCCCAAGATAATAAAACACCTCTCCTTTCCTCTTAAGCTATTCCTTTCCCATAATTTTCCCAAGCAGCAGAGGAACGTCGAACTTGTGAGGAGTGAATTAGTAGCTGAAAAAAGGGAAGAGCTGAGCTAACCAATGCCGATGAAGCAGGGGAAAAGGATAAGAACCTGATACACTAACCCACAGTAGCACGGACAGGAAGGGAAAACGGTTTCCGACAACACGAAGTAGAGGGGAAGGAGAATGACAAGCGACAAAGATGAACGGCAACCAGGGGAAGAAGAACTCGCAGCGGAACATCATGGAAGCAGGAGAACATCACACCAATGGCGGATGGATGCTTGACAGTCATTGGCGATGAATAAAAAAGAACGGGGGAAGAGGAAAACAGAGGAAGCAGACGTTTCTGGAAGCTCTCCCTCCGTTTGCAACGATCAAGAAGAATGAGAAGGAATGGGGAAAAAAGAAACCTTATGGGTCATTTATTATTTTTTAACAAAGGGGCGTTGTAATAATCTTGACAATTTTGGCAAGTTAAGGCAAAATAAAATATCTCCCTACCTGAACATAAGCAGCGTTAAGCAGCGTGAGAAATTTTTACAAGCCACCAATACATCTTGTTAAATCCCCCCCCCAAAAAATTTTAAAATATACTTACTTACCATATTATTAATTCTAATTTAATAAATATATTTTGGGCCATTATAAATTCCTCCTTTTGTTCAAAATATAAACAGCATTTAATAATATTTCACAAAAATAATATATGTATGTGTGTGTGTATTTTTCTTTCTTTCTTACCCTTAGCTTCAATTTGCGAAGTATGAGAAGGTCATAAATTTATAGACACAAAAATTTAGGTTAATAAGTATAAGAGATAAACTGGGAAATGGCTTTTGTAAATATTAAATCATTTATATTTTGAATTAAGATTAACTAAAAAAAATAATTATATTTTGGATTAAAGGGAGTAACAATTAAGAAGGTAATGACCAAAACAAATGAAAAATGTTTAAGAAACCAAGTTGCAATAGTGTTGTATTCAAACATTCCCCTTTTTCTTTCCATTTCAAAGTTCTTTCAAAGAATAGGATAACCTATCCGTTAATGTTCATATGTCATGGTGGGTGTTGAAGATAATGATCCTCCCACATGTCAAGTGTTCGAACCGACATTGAGAAAGTGGAGGAGTAATAGGATAACCTATCATAACCATAACTACCCAACTAGAGCAACAAGCATATTGCAATCCTGCATGTAGACTCTTAAGTTGTATTTGGCATGCATGTAAAGATTAGTTTCCCAAGCAAATAAAAATTTAATATGTTTGAGCACAATTGTATATCAATGAAGGAAAAATATAAAATTTATGTTTTTTTTTTTTGAATATAAGATCATAAATAACCATGCAAAATTAGGTCAAATTAAGCCGTATAAAAATATGACATTTACATGAAGTATCTTCAAAAATTGAGATGTTGATGTTGTCGTTTAAATTTGATAAACCATCCAATCTGCACAAGAGCTGAATTCTCTAAACATATGATTCAAGTTGATGACCCATGCTTACATTAAGAATGTTGACCTTTTAAAAAAAAAAAAAAAACATGTCTCGTGCCATATGTGGGTTAAAGAGTCCTGGGGAAACTAAGATACGTGTACTCCAAATGCCAACCAAGGTCTACATTCTCACAAAGGACAAGGTATGCAGAGAAAAGGAAAGAGAAGGGAGGAATTATTAGTTGGTGTGACGAATCAAGTTTAGACTAATTTTATTTCCACTTCTCCAGCCACTATAAGAGCTAACAGGAAGTATATTTTCCTGCGAGTTTCATATTTCAAGGAAGATCTAAAACATCAAAGTTTCTAGCATGTTTCAACCCCATTACACCTCATAGAGGTTTCAATGCACATATAAGAGCTACAGCTTAAAGCAAGCCAATAATTTTGGATGCTGAAGCAATGCTTTTTCCTCTTTTTGCATCCAACCATTGCAAAACTCATATAAATATATATATATATATATACATATGAAACAATTTATTACCACCACTGAACAATAGAAGACGACTTGCATCTGCCTGTGTTGTATCTGCGATGAAAATCTCAAGTCATACCATAGGAAGTGATAATTATTCATACCAGAGAGGGAGGGAGACCTCCACGTGTCAATTTGACATCAAAAGTGGAAGCAGAAATTGATTTTAATAATTTCACTCAGCAGCACTAGATATTTTCCAATTTGCCAGAGATGTACAAGGAAGAGCAGGAATTCGCAGGCGGATAAAGTACCTCACACAAACTCACAATCAAGGTGTTGCAAAGCTCAGGAATCTCATTGTAGCTAAAGTCAACGCTAAGATCCAAGCAACGTTTGAGCTCATCCAGATCTTCATTGGTAAAGATAGATTCTCATTTGGTGAATTGTGAGCAAGGCCACCACTTAGGCGGCAATGTAAGGAAGGGGTAGATGTCTAAGTAGCAATGTGAGAGAGACAATGAGTGACTAGCAATTGAGGATGTGAGGGAAAAGGGTGTTTGAGTGACTGAGTGCAGTGGTTGGGAGTTGTGTGGGTATTTTGGTCAGTTCATTATCAATCAAAACTAAGATCCAAGCAACGTTTGAGCTCATCCAGATCTTCATTGATCAAGATAGATTCTCATCTGGTGAATTGTGAGCAAGGCCAGCACTTAGGCGGCAATGTAAGGAAGGGGTGGATGTCTAAGTAGCAATGTGAGAGAGACAATGAGTGACTAGCAATCGAGGATGTGAGGGAAAAGGGTGTTTGAGTGACGGAGTGCAGTGGTTGGGTGTCATGGTTGGGTGTCGTGGGTATTTTGATTATTCCATCATCAACCTTTATTCCTGTAAAGGACCTAGGTTTAAAACAAACTTTCAGGTACTTTTAAGCAATAAATTTTTCAATGAGGAATTTTTCATAATTTTGAATTTTTCCCTTGTTCATTTTTTTTTTCTCAAATATTTGACCAAGGTTCTTGCAAAGACATAACCAAATAAAACAAAATCATAAAATTATTGATAAAAAATGTTCACGAACAAACGTGGATATTATTAAAAGAAATAAGTGAATCATAACCAAAATTTTCGCGCTCATATTTATCGTACAAATAATACAAGAAAAATATTAATTTTGACGAGTTCCTTGTTCGTACACGCAGTACCCTATCTATTCTTCTGTCAAATGATCCTATTGCTGGAGCTTGAGCACTGGGAATGCAATTACATCTCGGATACTAGGAGAATTCGTCAAAAGCATCACAAGCCTATCAATTCCAAGTCCCTGAAACAATATATTTATTCATCAATAGTAGCTCATGTAAACAAAAGTTCAAGGAGTTAATTAAAAAAAAAAAGGCAACTAAAAGGCAATAAATTCAAGCTGAAACTGTGTGTGTGTGTGAGAGAGAGAGAGAGAGAGAGAGAGAGAGACCAAGCTTATGCACCGGGGAATCATCACGATGCTCAAGAATAAACTTGCTACATGACTTTCAAAGACATGTATATGGTTTGGTTCAACAGGTCTTTATCAATCTCTTGTAAGAAAAAACTACAACTAGGCATGAACTAGAAACTCGCTGTGAGACATGAAACATAAGAAAAAACATAATTGGGGATTTGACCTACTATCAAACTTGATGTGAAGATATGGGAGACTTGTGACGAGGTACTAAACATTAGACATGTCATTAAACTGATCAAAGCACTAATTTAAGGGCTAATGGTCAAAGTTTTATTTGAACTGTGATCAAAGTATTTTATTAAACTGATCAAGATATTAGTTTAACATTTTATTAATTCAACTAGGTAGGTTAACCTAAATTTTTATACTATGCTTGCGAAATGCTCCAGCTACAATATTAGTGCCTTGAGTTGGTTTGCTGTGGGGCTAAGAACAAAAAGAAAAGAAAAAAAATCTAGAAAAGAATTTCTACAGAAAACTTGATTGTCTTTATGTTACTTCAATATATTTCAAACAAAACAAGAGAACATGGAAACAGATGATGATACCATTCCAGAAGCTGGAGGCATTCCATATTCCAGAGCTGTTAAAAAGTCATCATCAAGAGTGACTTCATATGAGTCATCCTCATTTTGCGCGTCTTCCCTCTTAGCACCATTTGCTGTCAAAGCTGCCGCTCTCTTCTTTTCATGCTCGCTAATTTGATACTCAAAGCGTCCTCTCTTCCAAGTCAAAATAACAAAACCATTTTATCAGAAAATCAAACCAGTCCCAACTGAAAACAATAATAAACATAAGCTTGTCCACCTATAATCACCATAAATCATTTCTTGCTGAGTAGCAAATAAGACAAAATCCTCTGAAAAATACGTTGACATTCTAATATACCATCGTGATGAAGTTTAATACAACAGCATACTGGTTTAAGGTGCAAATAAGAATACAATGATCATCACAAGACAAACTCTTCGCATCAATTCTGGGTAACATTTTCAAGACATAAACCACAACAACAAAGTTTTTATGTAATTGTTTTAAAAACATATAGATCCACGCCAGTTAATAAAAGGTTCAACCAAAAAACCATTAAAAGTGAAAACCTAGGAAGCACCAACAATTATAAATGGACAACGATACACACCAAAAATACATGTGCTAGAAGAATCTTCAGTATATTTTCAACTTACACAGCTTTTTTACGACTCTATATAGCTGAATAGCAAAAGTGCAGTATCTTATTAAATAGTTACGATTACCTGCTTTGTGAAATATTATTTTACACTCATGGATATTTATTTTCTGCTAATCCCCATGCTTCGGAATTTAGATAGTATTGAATTGTTTGTAGAACAAGTTTGAAAAACTATTTACAATCAGGTGTCTAATTTGATATGTCTTTATGGGTTTGCCAAAAGAAAAAGAAGGAATCAAAAGACAAATACCCAAAGCATTATGTTAATTTGCATACATTATTGCAGCATCCATTGGCTAGAATATGCCTTTAGAATATAGATCAGTTATCAAAAGTCGAATACTCGATTGATTTTGTCAGTCAGAATGTAACTCTGTCATAGAAGCAGCTGTTTCATTGTCATTTAGCTTCCAGTTCACTTGTCTCTATCTTGAGTTTGTCTTTTTTCTCTCTCCTCATTTCCTGATTTTGTTCACTACAGAATCACTGTCTCTGTTGACGCTTGAGAGATTTCACACATGCATTCTGATATATGCTGTCATTTGGCTTCTAGCTCACTTGTCTCTATCTTGAGTGTCTTTTCTACCTCCTGTTTTCCTGATTATGTTCACCACAGGACGACCGTGTCTGTTGACGCTCCTGAGACACCAATGGTGGTGCATTCTGATACATGTTGCTTAAATTGCAGTTCTGTTTGACCGCTATGAAAGATTATATTTTGAGAAGTTGATTTATGATCTTAAGAAGTTAATTTACAATTCTGTTCTCTGCAGTTCTCTAAGTGCAGTCATCCTCAGAATTTATTTGTCGCCAAGGGGAGCTATGAGCCAGTAATTGAACAAAAATAATCAAACCATATCTGCAAGCTGTTGATTGAGGACTTGATGTTACTGTTCGTCCCAAGGTCTCATTATCATCATCATAACTACCCAATTTACAAGTTGATGGATTTGGACTTTTGTAGGATCAAATTTTTATTCGCAAAACTTAGTTACTAATTTGTAATAAGAAATTGATTTTGAGAGGTAGATCCAACATTCAGAATTTTTCTATCATGTCGTTCAATTCAAGAAAAATAAGCCATCGAACATTCAACAATATGAAAGCTTGGAAGCCTCAAGCCAATAATCTCTTGATTCCGGACAAAGATATCATAAATTTTTTCTTACCTGATCTACAGGATCGGTTAACTCAGAGAATGCATTGCCCAGCTCACGACCACAGATAAAAAGTTCAAACCTCTCTGTCAAGCCTGTGAATCTAATAGGAGAAAAAGAGTATAATGTTGTCCATAAACAGAGTAAGAGGATCAGAGCTAATTAGTTAGAAGTGCTTGTCAAGTTTTACAATTTTCTCATTACATCCTAAAAATTGACTAGTAAAATATATATTGAAAAGTCATTCTTAAATATTAGCGTCAGAAATAGGGGGAAAACTAAATATCATGTCAGTATTAGAACTCAACATATAAGTGGCAATTATAGATGAAGATTAGTAAGTAGTTTTCTTTCAAGGTAATGAAATCAACCACTGCACAGTTTTTATGCCAAGCATGAGGAAACAAGGTGAATATTTAACAGCCAAAAACAAAAAAAAAATGAGAGAGCTTAGATACATCGATGCCAGGAAAATTTAATAAAATTGAGGAGAATATCATAGTACAGCATTTATTCTAAAGACAAAAATATTAGTTCCAAGCAAAAAGCAAGGAACCCAAAATTATCCTTGCTCTAGGAGATCATATAGCCTACAATACTTCTGCAGCATTCACCAAATTTTATCAAAAAAGCACATGCTTATCATGACCATGGGTTTTCATGACCCAACGAAAAAGGCACCTCACTGAATCACTATACCATGGGATGAAACAATAAAACTATTTTAACAAAATAAACATAAACAACTCTCAAATAGAAAGCAGCTTCCATCAAGTATTGACCATTGTTATAAAAACCACTCTAATTATTAAATCAGTTTGTTGAATAGGCTTATGTTTATAGCCGATCCCAAGCCCGGATAAAGGAGGAGGGTTGTGTTAGGCCATCAACAGCCAATGTAAAACTTTGTTGAATCTATAATGAACATGGACAATAGACGTTATAATGTTAATGCTAGGTCGTTGTCCGTAAGTAACGCGCTACATGGCTCGAGTACAGTGATAAGTGAGTTAGAGCCGCTGCATCGGCGCCCGGATGTAGTGTTAAATGAGCAAGGGCTACTGCGTCATTCTAGACACATGTGGCTAAAGAAGTTAGTCCATGAGAACAAAATTAAATTTGGTACTTGGAATGTTGGGGCATTGAATTGTAAATCTGTAGAGGTTGTAGGGGTTATGATTCAAAGGAAAATCAATATCCTTTGCCTGCAAGAAACAAAATGGCGTGGAGAAGAAGCTAAGGATATTCAAGGTTTCAAACTTTGGTATACAGGAAAAGTAAGTGCATGTAATGGAGTAAGCACCATTATAGATAAGGAGTGGAAGAAGAACGTTGTAGAAGTTAGCAGAATTGGAGATAGAATTATTTCCTTAAAAATGATAATTGGACGTGAGACTGTTAATATTGTTAGCGCTTATGCGCCGCAAGTCGGGACAGAAGCCAGTCTTAAGGAATTATTTTGGGAGGATCTGGAGGGGTTGATTCAACACATACCACAGAATGAAAAGATTTTTATTGGAGGAGACTTTAATGGGCATGTCGGGAGGGACGGTGGTCAGTATGCGAGAGTACATGGCGGTTTTAGTTTTGGAGAGCTAAACAATGAAGGACAAACTCTTCTTGATTTCTCATTGGCGTATGATTTTAAGATTTCCAACACTTGTTTCAAGAAGAGAGATGAGCATCTCATCACTTACAAAAGTGGAGCCTCAAGGTCACAGATTGATTTTCTTTTGGTTAGGAACACAGATAAAAGACTTTGTAAAAATTGCAAGGTGATACCCGGAGATGCTGTAACGACACAACATAGGGTCCTAGTCCTTGATGTGTGTATTATGAGTAAAATTCAAAAACGTCGACAAGTAGTAGCACCAAGGATTAGGTGGTGGCAATTAAAAGGTGAGAAGCAAGATATCTTCAAGCAAAATCTTTTGGATAAAGGAATTTGGGAATCTCAGGGAAGTGCTAACATCATGTGGGAGGATATGGCTAAAAAGATACGGGAGGTTGCAAAAGTAATTTTGGGAAAATCAAAAGGTTCTGGTCCGAGAGATAAGGAGTCTTGGTGGTGGAATAATAGTGTACAGGACAAAATCAAGTATAAGAAGAACTGTTTTAAAGCCATACATTTGTGTAACAATGAGGAAAATTGGGAGAGGTACCGTATGGCTAAGAAGGAAACTAAGAGAGCTGTGGGTGAAGCTCGTTCTAAAGCGCTTTTGAAGAATTTTATAAGATCCTTGAGACGAAGGAAGGAGAGCGAAATATTTACAAGATTGCCAAGAGTAGGGAAAGAAAATCAAAAGATCTAGAACAGGTAAGGTGTATTAAGGATGAAGAGGGAAGAACTTCAATTACAGATGATGAAATTAAAAATAGATGGGAGACTTACTTTTCTAAACTTTTCAATGATGGAGAGGGTTCATCTAGTAACTTGGAGGATTTAGTAACTGGTGAAGGAGAACAAAATTTGTCATTCTATCGAATAATACGTGATAAGGAGGTAAAGGAAGCTCTTAAGAAAATGGCAAATGGTAGAGCCAACGGACCTGATTGTATATCTATCGAAGCGTGGAAATGTTTAGGTGAAAAAGGGGTGAGATGGTTAACTAAGTTATTTAATGTAATTTTACGGTCCAAGAAAATGCCTGATGAGTGGAGGAGAAGTACATTAATTCCTATTTATAAAAATAAAGGAGATATTCAGAATTGTACTAACTATAGAGGGATTAAGCTCATGAGCCACACAATGAAATTGTGGGAGAAAGTAATTGAGCACAGGTTGAGATTGGAGACAAGTATTTCTGAGAATCAGTTTGGTTGTATGCCAGGTAGATCAACTACAGAGGCGATTTATCTACTAAGGGGATTAATGGAAAAGTATCGTTGTAAAGATAAAGATCTACACATGGTTTTTATTGATTTGGAAAAAGCTTATGACCGTATACCAAGAGAAGTGCTTTGGAAAGCGTTAGAAAAAAAGAGAGTACGGATTGCTTATCTTAAAGCCATACAAGATATGTATGAGGGGGTAAAAACTAGTATAAGAACGCCTAGTGGTCAAACAAAGGATTTTCCTATAAAGATTGGACTACATTAGGGATCATCTCTGAGTCTTTATTTGTTCAACTTGATCTTAAATGTTTTGACGGAACATATTCAAGGGGAAATTCCGAAATATATGCTCTTCGCGGATGATATAGTTCTTATAGCAGAGACAAGAGAAGAGGTTAATTGCAAACTTGAGTTATGGAGAAGGACATTGGAGTCGAAAGGTTTTCGTCTGAGTAGAAGTAAGACGGAATATTTATATTGTAAATTTGGTAAAGGACTATTCGACAATAATTTGGAAGTGAAATTGGGAGATCAAATTATACCTCAAGTGGAAAAGTTTAGATATTTGGGAGCCATTATTCAAAATGATGGCGAAATCAGTAGAGATATTTCACATAGAATTCAAGCTGGGTGGTTTAATTGGAAAAAAGCTAAAGGAGTTATTTGCGACCATAAGGTGTCTAATAAATTTAAAGGAAAGTTTTATAGCACTGCTATCAGACCGGCAATGTTATATAGTAGTCAATGCTGGGCTCTAACGGGACAATAAGAGCATAAAGTTGGAGTAGCAGAGATGAGAATGTTACGATGGATGTGCGAACATACACGTAAAGATAAAATTCGAAATGAGCACGTACGCGAAAAAGTGAGGGTGGCACCTATTGAGGAAAAAATGATAGAAAATCAGTTGAGATGGTTTGGACATGTACAAAGAAGACCAAGGGAGGCACCAGTGAGAAAAGTGGAACATATAACTTTGAGTCCGATTAATAGAGGTAGAGGAAGGCCTAAGAGAACACTTTTGGAAGTTATTGAACGCGATCTGTTAATTAATAATATTTCTAAAAGCTTGATAAATGATAGAGCACAATGGCGTCTTGCAATCCATGTAGCCGACCCCACCTAGTGGGATAAAGACTTGTTGTTGTTGTTGTTGTTGTTGTAATTATTAAATCAGTTGAGGCATTGGTTCAAGATTTGGTGGGATTGTAGTTGAACAAGTTATAATTAAATTAAAATATTTTAATTTTGTATATTAAATATTATGTAAGAAATGATAATTTATACAATATTATTCTTTAAGATGAAATTAAATAAATTTTTACTTTTATGAAATATCATTTTATTAGCATATAATATTTTGAAAATCTTGAAACCAAGTATTATTTATGGCACTAACTCTATGAAACAAAAACATATTCTAGATTATTTGTTAAATTAATTGGAATGAGAACACTCGAGAGATGTTGAATGCGGCTTCTTTTAAGCATTGGCCTTCACCAGGGATTGTCTTTGAATTCTTACTTGTTTGACCTCATTTAAGATATTCTAACTAAGCACATACAAGAGGAAATCCTCAAATGCATGCTTTTCGCTGATAATATATTTCCCATTGCAAAGTCAAAGGAAAATATTAACTCTAAACTTAAGTTGTGGAGAAAGACCTTGGAGTCAAAGGGTTTCCGTCTAAATAGGAGTAAGATAGAATATATGCACTGCAAATTTGATAAGAGGCCAGTTAACACTGATCTGGAAGTTAAAATGGGAGATCAGATCATACCACAAGTGACAAAGTTTAGATATTTGAAAGCAATTATACAAAATGATAATGAAATTAATAAAATATAGTACAAAGAATACAAGCTAGATAGTTCAAAACAAGAAAGGCTATAAGAATTATTTGTTATCAGAAAGTATCTAATAAGCTTAAAAGGAAGTTTTATCAAACTATCATAAGAGTAGCTATATTATATAATAGTGAATGTTGAACTTTAAAGGACAACAATAGCATAAAGTTGGGGTTACAGATATGAGAATGTTGTGATGGATGTGTGGGCATATAGGAAATGATAAAATTAGTAATGATCATATAAGAGGAAGAGTTGGCTTGGCATCTATTAAAGAAAATCATTTAAGATGATTTGAACATATATAAAAAAGTCTGCCAGAGATACTAGTGAGAAATATGGAGCAGATAATCTTAAGCTATATGAAAAGGGCTAAAGGAAGACCAAAGAGAATACTCAATGAAGTTATCAAATGATACATTTTGGTTAACAATATATCCAAAAATTTGGTTGCTGATAGAGCATAATAACATTGTGTAATCCATATAGCCAACCCCACCCAACAGGATAAAACAACTTCTTTGTTTCATACATACGATTGTAAATAAAATAGATGGTAAATCGGTAGATATACTGACTACCTTTCCCACAACTCTATTATTTTCCTCAATGTTTTACAATTATCATTTGATTGTATTACAGATGTGGAATTATTTCATGTCCAGTCCCTAACTGTACTATATGAATTGAGAAGAACCAAGGTTGTTAAAGGCAAAAGGCGCACTTAAGGCGCAGAGCCTATAAAACGCCTTAGGCGCATGACGCTAGAAAGGTGTGCACTCGAATGAAGCGAGGCGCTACCATGTGTTATAGCCTCTGGGTTTTGCTGCTCTATTCTAAATGTCTAATGGATTATAATAGGTTCTCTTTTATAACCTAATCAGTATAAGTTGGGATTAAATTTTCTTGAAAATTTTCCAAGGCTCATAATAATTTCACTATCATGTTTAAAATTTCAATCAAAAAGTATTTCTTGCAATAAGTTTAAATCTTTTCTATTATGTAATTGTCTTCTCTTATTTTGAAATTAAATATTTCATATTTGTTTTTATATCATTTAACTTTTCATATTTTATATCATATTTTAATGGGTTATGTATTAAAATATGAGCAAACCCATTGTCTTCTACAATATGTTACTCCATAGAAGTCAAGTGAAGCCGTCGATGCTGTCCTTATCTTCTCTTCTCTTCTTCCATATGCTGTCAGCATCGTCCTCATCAATTCCAATCGGTCGTTATCTTCTCTTCAATAACCAAACCCAGTCAGTCGTCTTCTTCACTTTTTCAATACCCAATCCCAGTCAGTCGCCTTCATCTCTTCTTCATTGCCCAGTGGTCGATCATCATCTGCTCATCTTTTGTTCCCCTATTCTTCAACCTACTTCAATTAGGCACCCTCAGGCGAGCACCTTTTGCTCGTGCAAGGCGCACAAGGTGCTCTCAGGCGTGCACCTAACTAACCCCATCGCCTCTCTTCACATGAGAGGCGATGACCCTGTTTAGCGCCTTGCTTTTGCGCCTTAGGCGCTGAGGCGAGCGCCTTTAACAACACTAAGAAGAACAAACAAAAGGCCAAGCATATAATCAGGGATGTGAAAGCCATGAACTTGCAGAAACGTGAGTTTTTTTCCCTGTAAGTTTTATAGGGAAGAAGAAATCAAAAAGAGTTTTTCTTTTCCTTTTTTTTTTCCTTTCACGTACATTATTAAGAGATGGAAAAGTAGCAATTGGAGGTAGTGAAGGCATTCGCATGAGACGGGATGGGATACATAGGTCACTTTCTATCCTTCATTTTATTATTTCTGGCGTTTGTCCTTCATTAAAATTATAGTTTTCAAGGGATTTCAAACAAAAATGTTCCTTTAACACCTTGATAGCATCCTCAAGGATCCTTCTTGGGCTTTGGCTATCTTTCTAAAAGCTCCAAAGTTTAAAATTTTCATATTTTTTTCCTACTGGTTCTCTAGTTCCTAACTGGATTTTCCAGTCATTCATTAGTTTTCATAAGGTCCAGTTGAATGTTCTAGACTAGACTAGGTGCCAGTTTCCCACTTTGTATGACCTGGATCACCAGCCAATCTGGTTTTCTGAACATTGATTGGTATTAACCACAAACACACAATAACTATAACTAAGTTAAATTGTTGGTGTCAAAAAAAGCAGTACATCCTAAACTAATAGCAATTGGCCAGAAATACCAAAATATACAGCATGACAGTATCAGCAGAAGGAAGTGATAAAATAGCACTTAAGATATCACTACCTTCGGTGGGGCTTAGCCAGGGGTGATATTTCAATTGGGTAGTCTAACACAAATGTAGGTTGGATAAGTTTTGGTTCTACAACAATCTCAAAAACCTGAAAAAAAACAAGACCAACAAACTGCATAGGCTAAGTGAATTTGAAAATACAAAAACTTTTAAAAGCACGACCAGAAGGAAGTTGAATATATTAATAAAGAATAATACAACAACAACAACAACAACAACAACAACAACAAGCCTTTATCCCACTAGATGGGGTCGGCTACATGAATTGCAAGACGCCATTGTGCTCTATCATTTATCAAGCTTTTAGGAATATTATTAATTAACAGATCGCATTCAATAACTTCCAAAAGTGTTCTCTTAGGCCTTCCTCTACCTCTCTTAATCGGACTCAAAGTTATATGTTCCACTCTTCTCACTGGTGCCTCCCTTGGTCTTCTTTGTACATGCCCAAACCATCTCAACCGATTTTCTATCATTTTTTCCTCAATAGGTGCCACCCTCACTTTTTCGCGTACGTGCTCATTTCGAATTTTATCTTTACGTGTATGTCCGCACATCTATTGTAACATTCTCATCTCTGCTACTCCAACTTTATGCTCTTGTTGTCCCGTTAGAGCCCAGCATTCACTACTATATAACATTGCCGGTCTGATAGCAGTGCGATAAAACTTTCCTTAAATTTATTAGGCACCTTACGGTCGCAAATAACTCCTTTAGCTTTTCTCCAATTAAACCACCCAGCTTGAATTCTATGTGAAATATCTCCACTGATTTCGCCATCATTTTGAATAATGGCTCCCAAATATCGAAACTTTTCCACTTGAGGTATAATTTGATCTCCCAATTTCACTTTCAAATTATTGTCGAATAGTCCTTTACCAAATTTACAATATAAATATTCCGTCTTACTTCTACTCAGACGAAACCCTTTCGACTCCAATGTCCTCCTCCATAACTCAAGTTTGCAATTAACCTCTTCTCTTGTCTCTGCTATAAGAACTATATCATCCGCGAAGAGCATATATTTCGGAATTTCCCCTTGAATATGTTTCCGTCAAAACATTTAAGATCAAGTTGAACAAATAAAGGACTCAGAGATGATCCCTAATGTAGTCCAATCTTTATAGGAAAATCCTTTGTTTGACCACTAGGCGTTCTTATACTAGTTTTTACCCCTCATACATATCTTGTATGGCTTTAACATAAGCAATCCGTACTCTCTCTTTTTCTAACGCTTTCCAAAGCACTTCTCTTGGTATACGGTCATAAGCTTTTTCCAAATCAATAAAACCATGTGTAGATCTTTATCTTTACAACGATACTTTTCCATTAATCCCCTTAGTAGATAAATCGCCTCTGTAGTTGATCTACCTGGCATAAAACCAAACTGATTCTCAAAAATACTTGTCTCCAATCTCAACCTGTGCTCAATTACTTTCTCCCACAATTTCATTGTGTGGCTCATGAGCTTAATCCCTCTATAGTTAGTACAATTCTGAATATCTCCTTTATTTTATAAATAGGAATTAATGTACTTCTCCTCCACTCATCAGGCATTTTCTTGAACCGTAAAAATTACATTAAATAACTTAGTTAACCATCTCACCCCTTTTTCACCTAAACATTTCCACGCTTCGATAGATATACAATCAGGTCCGTTGGCTCTACCATTTGCCATTTTCTTAAGAGCTTCCTTTACCTCCTTATCACGTATATTCGATAGAATGACAAATTTTGTTCTCCTTCACCAGTTACTAAATCCTCCAAGTTACTAGATGAACCCTCTCCATCATTGAAAAGTTTAGAAAAGTAAGTCTCCCATCTATTTTTAATTTCATCATCTGTAACTGAAGTTCTTCCCTCTTCATCCTTAATACACCTTACCTGTTCTAGATCTCTTGATTTTCTTTCCCTACTCTTGGCAATCTTATAAATATTTCGCTCTCCTTCCTTCGTCTCAAGGATCTTATAAAATTCTTCAAAAGCGCTTTAGAACGAGCTTCACCCACAGCTATCTTAGTTTCCTTCTTAGCCATACGGTTACCTCTCCAATTTTCCTCATTGTTACACAAACGTATGGCTTTAAAACAGTTCTTCTCTTATACTTGATTTTCCTGTACACTATTATTCCACCACCAAGACTCCTTATCTCTCGGACCAGAACCTTTTGATTCTCCCAAAACTACTTTTGCAACCTCCCGTATCTTTTAGCCATATCCTCTCACATGATGTTAGCACTTCCCTGAGATTCCCAAATTCCTTTATCCAAAAGATTTCACTTGAAGATATCTTGCTTCTCACCTTTTAATTGCCACCACCTAATCCTTGCGCTACTACTTGTCGACATTTTTGGATTTTACTCATAATACACACATCAAGGACTAGGACCCTATGTTGTATCGTTACAACATCTCCGAGGATCACCTTGCAATTTTTACAAAGTTTTCTATCTGAAATAATAAGTGAGTAGTTGCAAACGAAACCAAGTACATGAAATAAAGAGGACTAAAAATGCCTTGAGGAACATGAGATAGAGAAGCTAATCAACCTCATTAAGGAGGTGGCCAAGTGATTGGCATGCATCGATGGAAGCTTTATCTTTGTTATCAAGGTTATTGCCAAGGGTGCTTAGAGTAACTTCTTTGCAACATCTAGATCACTTCCCAACTCATTGAAATCAATTCCAGCAGTTTCTTTTACAAGGTTGTTCATGGTATCCCTTCTCCAGGACGCTCCAAACATATTTCATCCCCCTGCAAAGTGCATTTATCCCTCTTCAGCAGATTTGTTGTATTGGAAGAATATTGGAATAATTGAAGAATGTTATGCATCATGAATTACTATTGCGACAGTATTGTAGAATAAGAAGTCATATAATGTCATCATAACCTTATCTAATTAGTTACCAAAAGACTGATACAAAAAACACACTAACCACTCCGATGATGAGAAGTTAAAATCTAACTTCCAGTCCCAAGATAGTACCTAGGTAATAACACTTGAAGATATTAAAAGACCAGATAGTATTTGAAATAACCTTTCTTCCCCAAGCAACTACATGAGAAAAGAGGATGTTTAACAAGACCAATAATTTCAGTTAAAGCTTTGAAATAACTTGCATATGACATCTTGTATAAACAGACAAACATCATGCCATGAGATTGACCAAATACAAAATCTACCTGGTAATCAACAGTAAGTTTTCCATGAACCGCAAGAGCACACTGAGTGACAATCTCCTCTGCCAAATTCATCATGCTTTGATAGTCTGAATATGCCTCATACATCTAAAATTTTATAAATATTAATAAATCAGAATGTCATTAAGATATAACTACAAAGGCATTAACTACAACCAGCATACATACTCATACAGACACCACCCCACCCAATTGCTTTAAAATTCTCAAGTTAATCTATCACATCTCAAAAGAAAATGAATAGGTGCCTGAAGATGCACTCCCGTTACTGCATGCTCAAAACTTTACCTCAATAGTTGTAAATTCAGGATTATGACGAGTAGAAATTCCTTCATTTCTAAATATCCGGCCAATCTCATATACTTTTTCAAACCCTCCCACCTGTCATGAAGAAACACATCAAAGTGGTTAGCTACATTAAATTCATAGCCTGAAGAAGCCTCTTCCATTCAACCTTTGAAATGTATACTTTTCCAATCCTCAGAATGTTGCCATGTCCATAAAATCCAAGACCGTGAATGGTAATTTAATATCTTTTGGTGGCAAATTTGTTGATAATGCTAAATCTATCTCCATGTTTCCTTTTATTGTTTAACATACTAGTTGCATCGTATCTTCACAATATTAAATGTAAAGAAGATAATTATTTAATATTTCATTCCCCTAACAATGAAAAGAGTATTTTCTGTAGACACTTCAGTTTCACAATTTAAATAAAAGAAAACCAGAACTTCAAAAGATGACATGCTGATTGGGGTTCATTATACAGTCAGTTCACGTCACAAAATATCTCACCAGCATTCTCTTTAAATGAAGTTCAGTTGCAATCCTCAGATACAAGTCCCGTTGAAGAGAATTATGATATGTAATAAATGGTCTGGCTTCAGCTCCCCCAGCTGCGCCCTGGACAATAAAATTAATCAAAAAAGGGCTGACACAGAAACAAATTCCAAACATGATGGCATTTAAAAAGTATTGTTAAAAAAGAAATTTTCTAAATTAAAACAAGGTTGTGAAGCATGCAAGCAACAGGGGATCAGACCGAATAAAACATAAGACCAACAAAGTGCCAAAATAGAAGTATCGAAAGAATGACAGAACCACTGTACAGGTTAGCAATTAGTTGTTGAAATCATTATAATGATTGTTAACAATTAAAGTTCCATTTTTTGAAGTGGGAATTGTACAGATATACACTATGCAGTTCTCCCTACATGCTATAGCACTCTGGGTACTTGGCACTAAAGTTCACCAATTGCTGTCAATAACTATTATTTTAAAAGAAAAGGTATTGCGTTAAATTTTAACAGGAAGAGGAAGATCAAACAATTACATGATGCCTGTCAAACTAATGCCTAATATGTTAGGATACCAATGACTGTCAATGAAAGACTTGTACAATTTGCATTCTTTCAGAAACAATCATCCACCAAGAGATGAACTAAAATCAAATAAAAGAATCCACGTAAACTTGAAGGTACAATGATATAACAAACCTGCAAAACCGGAGTTTCAACTTCAACAAACCCTAAGGAGTCCATTGTTGTCCGTATCTCTGATACAATCTTTGGAAAGGCAAAGAGTTTATATTAATTTATGCATAGAACTTACTAGCTCATGCACCGAGTGAAAAGCAATAATCATTGGAAAATCAACTATCAAAATCTTAATATTATTCACCCTTGATGGCAATCACAATTAAGAATGCAAGAAAAAAAATCTACATGCAGTGTAATCATATTGCAGGATTGTTATTGAAGTTTTCATCCTACCCCTTCTGAAGTCCCCCAGGGTCCTATTGTTTAGAGTGGGTGCACACTACCAAAATATTCAATTACCGCTTGGCTGGTTTTCCATGGCAAATTAGCTACCAAGGATTTTCCAAAACACTTGAAGTTAAAGCAAAATGACCTCCGCAATTTTTGACAAACTAATCATGAAACATTTCATCATTTATTTCTTGGACATTCTATACCTGTTAACATTTTAAAATAACAATGGCTTATGTTAACTTAGATGTTGGCTCTTCAAGATTATCCATTTACATGTTTTTGTGAAAACTAGAAGGGAAAAAAGGCTGTTGTTTAAGCTTAGGATGACCATGTTTTGTGCTGCAATCTATGCTTTTGGCAAGCAAAAATAACTTTATTTTTTGACAAGAACTCCCTGATGATACGCAGATCTGTCATAAACCAGCAAATGATTTTTTGTTAAATGGAAACACTTGTACATAGGCAGGAACAGGTAAACAAAGGTGTTAGGTAAAACATGTAACATCATCTGGGTTGGTTATGTTTCTATCTTGCAGGCCAATTCTCTTTTTTTCTATGCCTGATGTGAGTTTTTGCACAGGCGGCTTAATGCCTCCGATGTAAATAGTTTTAATTTGAATATAGTTTCATTCAAAGCAAGAACCATATTCAACATAGATATCTGTACTGGATAATTTTACCAAATCAGACACCAGCCAATATGGCAGCTATCTACATGGAATTTAAACTTTTTTAGGAATGGCAATCCAAACAAGCATAGGCCAGTAATTTAGTTGTGCAATGAAAAAAAAAATTTCAGCAATGCTTTATGTAAACATAGTTATTTTTTTAAATATAAACAAAACAGGCAATCCTTCCAATTCTCTTATATGAAATTCATGGGTACCCAAGGGATGGGGAACCCTCCACCAAAAGCTAGCTATTGAAGTGGGAAACCAGCCCAATAAATACCCTATAAAGCATTATATACAACCAAGTGCAGGGCTTAGGCATCCCACACTATCCAAGTCTTCATAAATTGGCCTCCTTGGAGAGCTAATATCCTCAAAGAACACACTCTATGCCACCTCACTTGGCTTCTTCATTAGTCAAAATGCTCCATAGATAGCCCTTTTAGAATCGTCAACCACCAACTTTGATACCAATTGATAGGTACTCAAATGAAATGAGGAAGCCTCCCCCAAAAAATAGCTATTGAGATAAGAAAACCAGGTCACTTAAATACCCAATAGAGCATCTCATACTGCTCAATGTGAGACTCAAGCATCTTGTACTACCCAAGTCTCTATCAAACACTAATTTAAAAATTGAAGGCTAATACTTAAGTTACACAAATGTCAATAGGAACTATTTAATTGATTTATAATAGTTATAGAAAACACAGAATGAAATTGTCCTTGCACTTATTTTGATTGGTAAACATGATTGATAAATCATATTTTTTTCACATTTTTACCTGATTAAACTTGACTTTTAGAACTTGTTTTGTGATTAGTCGAGCTTAATTGATTAATAATTGTGTTTAGAGGGGAAGATTAATTTTATGGGAATTTTTGGAATTTATTGCAAATTTTTACAGATTATATTGAATATTAAACAAATAAACAAATTCTCATAATACATATTCTAGTGAACATTTTATTTTATGTGTAGGTGGCAAAAGAATTAAATGGTGCACAACATGTGCCAATTGGTCACTGAGTGAGGACATGTGGCATCACTCAGAGGGTTGGTTGAAGATCAAATCAAATCCAATCCAATCATGCAAGATCAAATATAATTAGGATCTGTTTTGGGGCTGTTTTAGGCATAATTAATCATTCCAAGATCAATCTATATGTTGATGAGTCAATCAAGTGAAATTGAACTACCACAAGTTGCTAGGGTTCTAGGATTTATAGAAAGCAATTCCACCAAGTCTAAAGAATCCTTTAAGCTACTATATACCAATGAGTCAAGGTGAATGAGCTAATTAAACTTGCATTGGCTAGGATTGTCCCCGATTCCTACTCCTAGGGATCACTTATTGAATTGATGTCATCTTCATTCCATTGCATTTCCATTAAACTTGCAAACGCACAAAAAGTAGAGCAGGTTTTGCTTTCTTTTCACACTAGCCAATCCAAACCCAATCATTTGCTACTGTTTATTCACATTCCTAATTCAATTTAGCTCAACTTAAATCTATTTCTTAGGGAAGAAAGACCTATGTTGCACCCCATGTTACATTAGGTGTAGCTTTGCAATTTAAGGCTGACACGACTTAAACTTGTCAATGACACATGCACCAGCTTAGTAAATTCAAAACTTACTTATCTATTTAAATTATTAATGAGTAACTTTGGGTCCATTTTGTCTTAGCTTCTTTTCATTTTTATCTTCCCATATTCTTATTCCTTTGGTAATTACATTCTATTTAGCAGCATCAACTCCTAACATTGTTTTCCAAGTTATGGTCCAATAAAGAGACAGTAAAAGCAGAAGGTAGCTGTTGGCATTTAAAAAGAAATGTAGCTTAAACATAGCAAGCCTTTTATATCTAAACTAAAGTACTAATCATCTAGTATAGATATTTAAAGAAAATAAGATGTGAACCACCGCAAACAGTTCAATTCAGATGAAAAGGTAAGAGAGATGAACCACCTTTGCTCTTTTACGAAATACATCTGCTACCTCCGGGTTTGCAATCATATCTACATACCTAACCACAACAAACATCAGGAAGAAATACTTAAACAAAAGGGCTACTCAAGTTTCAGTGCTTAAACTTCCTAGCAAGTCAGAATTAACAAAAGGCAATGACTTCAGAAATGGTAATCGGAGAAATGTTCAAAATAAGTAGAGTTACTATACTGCAGTTGAAAAATCACATAACAAAGAAAGAGGAAGACATGTGGAAGGGGGAAAACAAGAAGCTCACAAATGAAATAGAAACACACAATGCACATTCACATGAAAACATAAAAATAAGAATAACAATTATTAACATAAAACCCTTTGAACTTCGTCAATGAAATACCTCTTGAAACCCTGAAAAGCAAAATGACGTAAAAATTGGTACTCAAAAGTTACGGAGAAAAACAGAGGTGAGGGGCCAGAATGCCCATAGGATGGATCTACTATGACAAAAGAAGTAAAGCCAAGCCTACTAGTTTGATGAACAATGTGAATAAACTTATCACTATGACACAGAATAGTAGTGGATGAGAAGGGAGAGGGAGAAAGAGGGAGAAACATAAAGGTAAAGAAAGGGAGGAAATTGATAGAGGAAAAAAAACACAGAGAATAAAACTAACAGCATAATCCAAAATGGACAAAATCTACTTCAATACAATTGACGAGGACATTATATAGACCCCATAGAATAGTTCCCGATAACTTCAAAAGAAGGGGGGATTAAATAAAATAGATGCAATTTAAACTACTAATTTATGATCCTACTCTTTAAGTAAAATATTTTTTCTTTTTTCTATCTTTAATCCCTCATCCTCATCTATAATGAGTTAGTAATATCTTACATAATCTCTTCTCATACATGTTGGGCATCATATTTGAAAACTAAAGTTCTTTTATTGCAAGTCTCCATATTCTGAATCTTACTTTTGTAGCTAATGACTTGGTAGAGGATGTCAAAAGCCAATAAAAACAAGACTTTCACATCCAAGTATTATTTTGAAAATGCGGATAACATGTCAGCTAGAACTATTTTTAGATGAGGTCCTCCATCAGATTAGATGGAGAAGTTGGACTATTTTGGTGACCTATTGCCTTGTTCTGAATGATAATAGAAAACCCCAATCTGGATTTAAAGGCCAAAGAGGGATTATTCAAGGGAGTCCTTGTTAAATAAGGTGTCTTATTAGAAGGTGATATGTAATAAATAATTGAATAGGCATTAGGGGGTAATGGGTAGTTAGGTTTGTTAGTTGATTAGGCATTAACGACCAATGGCTATAAAAGGAGGGAAAGGTCAGTATCTGTATTCTAATCAAGGGCTTTGGAATAACGAAGAATCATCCTTTCTCTCATTTCTCTCTTCCCCCGTGTTCTATTCTCTCTATTTCTCTTCTGCTGGCTCTCTCTCTTTCCCTCTTACACTTTTTATTCTCTATCAGAACGTAAACCCCATCTCTTTCTTTGTGAGAACCTAACACAATGCAACAATAAAGGACAAGAGAATAACTTTCAAGAACATTATGAAAGAAATAGCAAGTTATTAGGAAAAATGTCATAATTGCACTATCAAAAACTAAACACACCATTTCCATTGTACAACCCAAGAAGCCATGCCCCCAATCAAACCCCTCTTCTCAATAAAAAAAAAAAAAATTAAACATAACAAGAACTAGAGTAAAGTGACATAAGACATTGAAATGTGTACTAACCTCTGGCGATAACGCTTATCTATGTCAGTTAATCCATGGTATTTGTCAGGTAGTGGAAGCAGAGATTTTGTAAGGATCACAAAAGAATTCAGATAAACAGAGAGCTCCCCTAAAGAAAGGAACAAAACAAGAAAAATAACATAAAGAAGTAGCAAAGATATTATGACAGAAAATCACAGTATTGTACAAATGCTCCACCCCTTGTAGTAGTTATATTAAAAGATAAGGCATGTTCATCAAATACAAGATATTAGTAATAGACCAGCATGATGCAATCAACTGACCATAAAATCTCCCATCTTAATCGATCACAGCTTTGAAACAACCAAAAAAATGTATTTGATTTGTTGTATTTCTAGGATTTAGCATCCAAGTAACAGTGTAAGAAATGAAAGGCAGAAGGTTTAGAGCCTTCTATAATCAATTTAAGAAACATTTGCTTTATTGGACAAACAATAAGGGAGTTTTCTTCCTTGCCTATTAGGCCCTTCAAAATGATTTCAAATTCCAAGTGAGACCAATACAAAGTGATGATACAGTTAGCAGGTAGATTTTCTTTTCAGTGTCATTATCCAGTAAGAGTAATAGAAGCCAACAACAGCCATCGAGTATTGACAGACAGAGAACTGAGAAAGTACACAAAAAATTATACCTGGTATATAAGAAAGACAAATATGTAGGGCCTACAAGTCATATAATGGAACTCAAGCTCAAAATGGTATCAAATTAACAATAATCTGCCAGAGTGCAGGTCTTAATAGATAAGCCACACAGAAGATAGCAGAAAACACAGAGTGAGATAGAATTTGAGAGGCTAGTCTCTCCCATTCACACAGTCACAAATTTCTTACCTCACTCGTCCCAAATCCATCCTATGTATGTCCTTCTTTATAGCCAACTCCATCTCTCCCCTTTCCCCTTCCTTCACCTCTTGTCCCATGTGATAGTAATGCAGCCCTGGGCCCCTTTTTGGACACCTCACCAATCATTATAACAGACCTGGAACCTCCCATATTACATCTATTTGCCCAGGGTCCATCATCATAGAATACCAAAAGTCCAACTCCTTGAAAGACCCATAGGGCTAACAGAAAAAATATAGGAAGTAAAGAAAATGAATCTAAAATATCTCATATAACCCCACAAAGACTCCTTTTAGCTGATCAAAACACTAACTTCTCTTCGGAATTATACACACAGTAACACAATTAACATAAGATAATAATGTGCCAAGCCAAGCTACAAGTAACCCATCAGCTTCAATTCAGACAGCCACTCAAAATCGGATGCATTCCCAATTCTGCAAGTCCTCAAAAAGCAGATCCGTTCCAAGTTGTATTACATTGTCTGCTAAAGTCTTCATGTTTCATATGATAATTTTGTGAATATTTTTGCATTTTGCTCAATCTTTTTTCTTGTTGCGTCTTCTTATTGAAGACCCAAAAAAAAAAACAGAAACATATTAAGCAATGAACTTCCATAAAAGAAATGCATTTCAAACAAAATTTGCTCAAGACAGAAATGACATCTGCTTGTGCAGAAACCCCAGTTGCTGAAAACATAATATTGTTATCATTGACTGTCGTTTCATTCCACTTTCATGATGGACAACTAGACTTTGATTTTGAATAATGGGTCACAAATTATAACCTCATATTTGTAGTTCTGCGTAAGGCCATCATACTTCCATAGCATTGGCTATGTTCCATTGACAATTTGACTTTCCTTTATGTTTCGGTCAAAAGTTAATTGCAATACAAAATATAATACAAAAACCCACAAAAGATCAGATTTTGAAGCCAAATGAATCTTGTTTCCTGGCTTAATAAACCAATTACCTTCTAAACATCATTATCAATATAATTTACACCTTTTGTATGATGTTATTCTAGGATTAAAACTTCCAGTGTATTTTACTGCAAGAGTCAGTTGACTGTCTTAAATTAAATGACCAGTTTATTCTAATACTTTGTTCATAAAACAAGATTCTTAGGTCAGAATACAAACCATGTTTTACCTTCATTTAAGAACGATAAGCAAATAAAAATGATGTCCCAAGGACCAACATACAAGCAAAAACAGAAGAGATGTCCATAAGGGAGTCAAAGAGTAAACAAAGGAAAAGAATAATACTCTAGTACATTAGCCTAAGGGTATATTTATCAAAGAGAACACGCAAAAAGATCCTTTCATATTTCCCTATACCATATAGTATCCTATTTATACTTCTCTTATATCTTAATATATTATACTTTCATTGACAGCAATAAAGAATATCCCAATAAGACTCCATTTTCTCCTTAACTACCTCAGTCTGACCAAAAATATCCTAATAATTATCTAAAATTATCACTGAAAAATCATCAATAATCTGTATATGACTATAATTGACAACCCAAGCCCAACTTGCTCAATCTGCTGCACTAACTAAAGCATTTTAGGAAATTACTCACAATATAGAATGTTAGAAATGCAAGTCACAGTAACTCTACTGAAGAATTATGAGCTAAAGGAAGCAAATTTTAAAGAAGAACATCAGAGTGATACCTTTCTCAGTGCGTTTTATAGAACCTCTAGCACCTAGTATGTCACCAATATCAACAAATGCTTTTACTTGCTCAAATTGATCACCCGGGAGCCTCTCTTTATCACAGTAAAGCTGAAATTAAAGATTTCAATAACTGCAGTCAGCACCTCACTACAATATGCATTACATAGAAGCAACACATGCTCTAACATTTCTATAATTAAGAAATGCAACGAACTATGAAGACTCAACGACGAGTTTAAGCATAAGAACAATACAAAAGCTCACATCTGACAGTTCATAGTGAACAGCCAACTATGGGCTTTCAGAGAGAACAAAAATGAGTCTTTAAAAATACCTGAATAGCTCCTGAATCATCCCTAAGTGTCAGGAAGGCAAGCTTTCCAAATGCCCTCCTAGCAATAATCCTTCCTGCCACAGATACTTGATCATTCTCGCTATTTAATTCCACTCCATTTTCTAAATTTTTATATATATTTTGAAGCTGAACAGCACTGTGAGTTCTGTCCCATCCATAAGCATATGGATCAAGCCCCTTGCTTCTCAATTCTTCAACCTACAAAACAAAAATGAAGTTGAAGCAGTTGAAACGATAAGATTTGAGTTTAAATGAATGGATAATTTAAAATAAAGAATCACCAATTTTCAGACCTTATGATAAGAAGTCAAGCAGTTAACCAAAACCTATCACACCGTCTCTCCTATCCATAGCTGAAGGGGGCATTTGTCCCTAGAAATAAAACTTGACATATAAGTTTACAACTCAATTTTTCCCAACTGATCGTCTAGAGAAGGACAAAAAGTGTCAAATAGAAAATAGTAAATTCCCATTACTTCAAGATTAAAAGACTACAGTCTAAATCCCTAAGATAGATACTATGCCACAAATTGGACATAACCCAACGGCAAAGCTAAATCACTAAAAAGAAAAAGTTCACAATTTTACATAATACAGTGCAAACTAACTCTGAAATTATTATTTCCTCAGTACAAAAGGTTGAAATAAAATTATAAATCGTAGAAAACAATCACATACTGAAACAGTTTTTTCTGATATGGTAGTAGACCCTACCTTCTTCAACCGAATGGCTCTGACAGCTTCCCTATCGGAAGTAGAAGACGAAGACGAAGAAGACCGGCGATTACGACCACCACCCTTGGGAGCACCTTGGTCGACATTGCTTGAGGTGGTGGCGGAAGAAGAGCAACAGCGAAGAACCACTCTAGTAGGTGGCCTAATGGTGGTGGTAGTGGAGGAAGAGACGAGGCGAGAGAAGTGCTTCAGTGGCTGCGAGGCTAAGGTCCATATTCTAAGCGCCTCCATCGCCTAGTCCCTGTGGGTGGCTAACTCCAGTGCTTCTGATTCCCGCTGTAGCTTGTCGCCTATCTTTGCCTATCTAACTTGATTGATGGTCCGCCAGGTCAGCACATCTGACGTGGCATGCGGTTTTTACGTTTTTTTTTTTTTTTAACTATCAATACGGTTTTGTATGTGAGATGAATCGCTTCTTTTGAAGGAGGACGGGAAACTCGAGTGTAAAGCAATGTTTTTAAAATTGGACTTAATAAAATGAGTGAGGAAAAGATAGTGTCTGGAAATTAACGGAGGTAACGGTGGCAAGGATAAGGGTGGTGATCCTGGAGGCGAAATCAATGAAGGAAGGAGTAACTTTGTTTTTTCCAGTACGAACACTGATAGGTATTATAAGGGTGGGAAGGAGGATAAGACGGTTGAAGGCTTGAATTCTAGGAAGAAGATATCCTATAAGGATTCTTTGCTGAGTCTGAATTCTGTAGGTTTTCGTTCTCCTAATGATGAGTCCGACAATATTATGCATGGTTGGGAGAGCTACCTTAAAAAGTTAAGGGCGCAAGAGGCTATTAAGAGGGCAGAAGGGAAAATGAGTGCGGAAGAATCGGAGGAGGAGGATTTGTCTGATGATCAGAGGTCTATGAAAATCCTAGAGTTGAAGATCCCTGAACAAGCATATCTTGCCTGGTGCAAACTCTAGTTAAACTCTATTATTGTGAAATTATTAGGACGAAATATCCCATTAAGGTTTTTGAGAATCAGGTTAACAAGAATGTGGCAGATTAAGGAGCCTATGCAAATTACACCACTGAGTAATGGATACTTTATTGTCTCCTTTTCTAGCAAGGATGATCTTGATCATGCTTACCAAGAGGGGCCATGGATGATAGATGATCACTATCTTCTTGTGTAGAAATGGAGACCTAATTTTAATCCCTGGAAAGCAAAAACACAAAGAAGGATAGCTGCTGAGATTTGTGTCTTGGATTTGCCTGTCGAATTTTTAAGAATGATAGGGGATAAGGTTAATGCTATTCTAAAAGTTGATTAGTCTACTTCTATATCTGATAGGGGAGCCTTTGCTAGAATATGTGTTGAATTCGACTTAAGCAAACCTCTTATGCCCATCTTCACTATGTATGGGGAAGAGTATAAAATTGCTTATGAAGGTCTTCATCCCATCTACTTCCACTATGGCCGATTTGTCCATCATTTGAACGCTTGTCTTGATCAAGCTCAAGGATATGAACAAGGAAAAGAAATGAATGACGGTTTAGATGAAGATAAACAGTAGATGGTTATGTCTATTGATAAGATACAATCAAGGGATGGCCAAAGAGTGGAGGAGATCATGTCAGAAAAGCCAAGAGAATCTAATAGAACTCATGCATTGGACCAGAATGATGGAGGTACACCGGCGACATTAACTAGTGGAAAATACGGGCCTGATATGATCATTAACCGAGATTTTCACAAGAGATTGAAAAAATCAAAGCCTAAGGGAGCTGTGAGTGTTTCGGATAAGGGGAAGGAGATGGAGAAGCCTATGGTTGTGCCAAGAAAATCGAGATTTGGAGAGCAGGAAAGTAAAGCATTTAACTATTATACTAATATGCATGGAAAGAAATTTGAGGAGCAATGTTAGTTTGGCAGGGAGATCTTGAATCAAAAATTAAAGTGGACCCTAGTAGGAGGAAAAAAGAAAAGCTCCTTTAAAAGTCAAAGGAAAAAAGAAAGAGAATATTGTACTTAGAGCATATCGAAATGGGCCAGATTTTATAAGCCCAAATTCATTTGATGCTTTTGCAATTAATGATGAGAGCATATCTAGTGGTGAAACTGCTCAAATGGATAATGGGCCAAATTGCTTGGACTTGATGGCTAATTAGCGTGTGAATGAACTAGGCCAGGATGCAAGGGGGTGTCACATCATGAATCAGCTACCAAATAGTACTGGATTACTTCATCAAGAGCTAGACACTGTGACTAAAATGGACATCACTCTATGTGCAGGTATTGACTCGAGCTTGCAAGCCCATTCTTCTTAATATGTTTTTTATGAATTTTATGACTTGGAATTCTAGAGGCACTGGGTCATGTTCTTTTCCATGCCTTATTAAAGAATTGAAGTGTAGATATAAGGTAGGGATTTTAGCAATAGTAGAGACTAGAACTAGCGGTCCTAATGCTTTTAGTATTGCTAAGTATTTGGGTTTCCATTATATTCATATTGTTGATGCAAGAGGATATAGTGGAGGTCTTTGGCTTTCATGGGATGATTTAGACTAGAAAATTGAGATTCTTAGTAGTCATGCTCAATGTATTCATTTCAAGGTAAAGAAAAATGATACGAGCTGGTATGGCACAGATGTGTATGCTAGCCCAAATGCTATTAACAGAAATCTTCTTTGGAAGGAACTTAGATGTATTGACATGAATATTGATGCTCCTTGGTTCATAGGAGGGGATTTTAATTTTATTTTGTCTAGTCTTGAAAGAAGATCCTCATCTCATCCTTCTGTTATTGCTAGCCGAAATTTTTGCTTATTGGTTAATGAATTGGAGTTAATAGATATAGAGTGCAAAGGGCCATTGTTTACTTAGCATAGAGCTGGGTGTGAGAGTAAACTTGATCATATGCTCATGAATGAGGAAGGTACAAGTAATTTTCCTAATACAACAATTGTCAATTTACCTTATTTCAAATCTAATCACAGGCCTATTATTCTAAAGTTGTATGAAGACGCTATCTCATGTTCTTCATGGCCCAAGTTGTTTAGATTTGTCGCCTCTTGGGTTCTTCATAACGAGTTTGATCAATTGGTGCGTGAGAACTAGAACAATCTAGATAGCTGGAATGATAATATGTGTTCTTTTACGAAGGCCATCTTGAAATGGAAAGATGAAGTTTTTAGGCATCTCAGTAATAAGAAAAAGTTATTGATTTGTAGGCTTGAAGGCCTTTCTAAAATGGACCAGCCTTGTTTTAATGCACCTGCGAGAATGGAGTTACAATATAGACTTTGGCTTGATCTTGAAGAGATTCTTATGCAAGAAAGTCTCCTTTAAGCTCAAAAACCTAAGTGTGATTGGTTTGTTTCTGGTGATAAAAATAATAGATATTTTCATGCAAAAGTTAATGCTCGAAGAAGAGCGAATTGAATTGAAGCTCTTAGAAAGGAAGATAGGAGCTAGGGATATGATACTGAAAGGATTTCTCAGATTGCTAGGGTATATGATACTAAAAGGATTGCTCAGATTACTAAAAGCTTCTTCATTGACCTTTTTAAGGATGATGAGGGACCAAGACAAACTGTTCAGACTTTCCATTCATTTTTTGAGGTTGATAATGTTCAGATCAACAAATTATCTAGAATGTTTGATGCTGAGGAGATTCGTAGAGCTTTATTTGATATGGGATCGCTAAAGTCTCCTAGTCTAGATGGGATGAATGCTCTTTTCTTTCAAAACCAATGGAACTTAATTGGGCCTTTTATAATTTCTATGGTGCAAAGTAGTTTTAGAGACTAATCCCTAATTAGGGATATTAAAAGTACTTTTATCGTGCTTATTCCTAAGAAAGAGAACTAGGAAACCATTCGTGATTTTAGACGAAGGTGATATCTAATCGAATTAAAGGGATTTTACGTTCTATCATTGCCCCTAACTAATGTAGTTTTATGCTTGGAAGGAGAGTTCTAATAATATTATTATTGCACAGAAAGTGATTCACTCAATGGGGAATATGAAAGGAAAGAAAGGCTTTATGGCCATTAAGATTGACCTTGAAAAGGCTTACGATCACATTAGATGGGACTTCGTTCGGGATTGTCTTGTTGAATTAAAACTGTTGACTAAATTAGTAGATATTATCTCTCATTGCTTGGACACTTCTAATATGGAAATTCTTTAGGATGATTACAAGACGGAGGAATTCTTACCTGCTCATGGACTTAGACAAGGTAATCCTATATCTCCCTATCTTTTTGTGATTTATATTGAGAACCTAGCTCATACAATACAAGATGAAATTCAAAAGGGTGCTTTGAGGCCAATTAGACTCTCAAAATTGGGACCTGCTTTGTCACACCTATTTTTTGCTAACAATCTTGTGATTTTTTTAGAAGCTTCGGTTGATCAAGTAGAAGTTATTAAGAATTTCCTTTCTCAATTTTGTATGACTTCGGGCTAAAAAGTTAACCAAGCAAAGACTCAAGTATTTTATTCTGCTAATGTATCGCACATAAGGAGAAATCAACTATCTAGCTTGTTGGGGTTCTCTAGTACAGTAGACCTTGGCAAATATCTAAGGGTCCATATGCATCATAAATGTATCACTAAGGCTACTTATGGGTATATGGTGGATAAGGTTAAAAGTAGACTGAATAATTGGAAGATGTCTAACCTTTCTTTGGCAGGTCGAAATACTTTAATCACCTGTGTTGTCTACTATTTCCCAATATCCTATGCAAACAACTTTACTACCCATTGCGATTTGTGATGAAGTGGAGAAGCTTGCTAGATCATTTCTTTGGGGTTCTTCCCAGGAGAAAAGAAAGATTCACCTAGTGGCTTAAGATAAGGTGTGTCGAATAAGGACAATGGTGCTTTGGGTATTAAGTCTCTCATCGCTCAAAATCAGGCCTTCTTGATGAAGAAAGGGTGACAGCTTATCCATAAAAAAAGATTCTCTTTGGACTACAGTTGTACGTGCCAAGTACGAATGTAGGGATGACTTATTACTAAAAATTGAATGGAAAAGGCTTAGTTCTAGAATTTAGAGTGGTATTAAGAAGACTTGGGATTTACTAGAAACGGGCCTTCAGTAGTTTACTCTTCCTAATGGACAAACCTTTATCCGTTGGAGACCTGAAAAGAATGGGTGTTTTACCATCAAGTGAACTTATGAGTTATTTCACAATGATGATATCACTCCTTTGCAGGTGTATAAAAACCTGTGGAAATTGAGGATCCCCTTTCAATGTAAGTCCTTTTTATGGCTAGTTGTACAAGATAGATTGTTGACTAATGAGGTGCGAAGAAATTGAGG